GGCCTCGGAGTCCTGCCCCGCACCTTGGCCAGCAGTCCCTTCCCACCCACGCGAGGGCGGCGCCCGGCTCCTGGCAGTCTGCACGCGGGCGACCTGGGGGACCTGGCCTGGCTGCCCGCGCCTCCCTGACCGCGACGCCCGAGGGCGGCGGCCCCTTTGTTCGGCGGAGGGTGCGGGCTTCCTCCCGGGCGCCCCCGCAGCGTCCCCACTCCCTCCGCCTGCGGGAGCTCACCCGGGCCAGGTGGCGGCGGGCGCCTTGGGGGTGCGCGGCGGCGCAGTTGGTGGATTTTTTTTAACCCGCCGTGGAGGGGGCGGCGGCGCTCGGCTGCGGGCTGCTGCTCCGCTTGGCTGTGCCTCGCTCGGCTCCGCTTTGCTCTCGCGTCCCGGCCGCGCTCCCGCCGCCGCTGCCGCCGCGATGAGGGTGCTCGGACACAGGCTCGAGCTGCTCACAGGTACGCGGCCCTGCCCGCCTCGTCCCCCGCCGCTTCCTAGCTGGGGCGGGCTCTGGACGCGGTGGCCCGGGCTTGGGACGGGTCGGGTCCAAGCGGGACGGGGAGCGGAAACCTCGAGATTTCGTTGATTCCCTCCTTGGGAGCTACCTGCTGTGCCAGCCGCCGTGCCCTCGGGGTCCCCGGCTTCCGGCCGGTGCCGCTCTCGCGGCTGACTCGAGGGTCAGCAGGGCGGCCCTCTGGCGTCTCCCACTGGCGGAGCTCTCTCGGAGCCCCGAGGGAGCTGAGATCCCTAACTCCATTCACTGCCCTCGTCCCCAGGGAAGACAGCTCCAGAGCTCCCAGCAGGACCCGAGCTGTGGCTCCTGGCGACCGGAGCCGCCCTTCTCCAGGGAAAGAAGTTTTTTTTTTGTTTTTTTTTTTTTTTGCTGGGCACAGAGCCCAAATGACCTGGGAAGTGGGTGGCCAGATAAACCGTGACGACGGGGCTGTGAGGTCGGGCCCCGCTGAAGGAACTCGATGCCGGCTGGAAACCCGCGCCAGAGTTCCAGGCAAGGCTCTGAAGTGGACAAGGAGTTAGAACAGGGGTAGTGCACAGCCAGGGAGGCCAGCCAGGCATTGGGCATTGAAGCTCAGTAGCCCGGTGGCTTCTGTGTTCTTGCCAAAGCAGAGCTGTAGAGAAAGCCAGACAGGAGCCAAAGGCCCCCCGCCCGGACCGGGGATTTGTGGGTGCTCAGTCTGTCCAGTGGACGAACATGGAGAATGCACACTCCGGCTGAGGGCCTCTGGTAACTAGCGGTCTGGCCCCTGCCCTAAAGGACCCTAAAGTGTAGGTAGTCTGTAAAACTGGACAGGGTCTGGGGAGGAAGGGGAACAGAGGTTAGAGCTAGTGGCAGCATTTAGAGACATAAGTGACAGGATTTCTGTTCGTTGAGAGCGACATGGCGCAGAGAAAATGGAATGGCCTGTGTGTACTGTGAGGTGAGGGGCTTGGTCCAGTATTGGCATGGTGGCTGAGGTGCCTGAGTGGGCTTTGCAGGGTGGAGTAGGACCTGGGAAGAGGTTTAGGCCATGTCACTAACTCCACTGTGGGTTGTTGTGGGCTTACACAGAGGGAAGGTGGGTACCATTGCTGGGCTCTGGACCCTGGCTGGCGCTCTGTGGGGTCTGAGCCCAGTCATCCATGGTGGTGAGCCCACCCCCATTCTTGCTAACCTTTGCTCATGGTGCTCACCTGGGGCAGGCCTGGCCCATGGACTCTGAAGGAAGCTGCACAGCTCTGGACCTGCTAACCTGGGGGAAAGTTTATATGGTGGCTTTAGGGCCCTTCCTGGGCGGAAGGAACTGCATGGGCTGTCATCCCCGCCCCCACCTCTTCTTTCCTCTAGAGGGTCTGGAGGAGAAGTATAGGGGGATCCAGCAGAGGTCAGGCTTTGTGTGTGTGTGTGTGTGTGTGTGTGTGTGTGTGTCTTTTTGAGACAGGGTCTCCCTCTGCAGTTCAGGCTCACTTTGTAGCCCAGGCTGGTCTCAAACTCACAATGATCCTCCTGCCTCAGCCTCCTGAGTGCTGGAATTACAGGCCTGCGCCACCACACCCAACGGCATCGGGCTTTGAGGTCGTCATCTCCTGGGTGCTGGGTTAGGACCCTTCCTCCCACATGACATGGGCTCAGGCTCTTTAGGCCCTGGTCAAGCTGGGACAGGACTCTCTCAGTCACTGTGATCAGTCACAGGCTCCTAGCTTACCTCAAACCTGGCCTGGAAGTGATAGCTCCTCCGCTCTGTGGTCTTATTTCTCTGTCCAGCTCTCTGCTGTCCTCTTCCTTGCTACACAGATAGATTCCAGCTCCAGCCTCACAGCACCCTCTCTACCTTCAGCTCTTATTTTGATGATGGAGCTGTTGACTCCTCCACAGGAGATGGGAGGACTGCTAACGCAGTACAGGTGATACCTAGTTGGGAGCTGTGCCCTAAGGGGCACCTTTCAGTGTGTGTCACCCTTCTGGTTCCTCAGTTTTGCTGTCCCAGTCATGGAGATCCACCTGTCCTTCAGTGGGTGGTTGCTAGGGGCTCTGGATCTGTCTCACCCTCTTAATCCCTGCTCCTATGCCGCATTCAGATTTTGACTTGTGGCTCCCTTCAGATGACAGGCAGCTCACCACCCCCAGGCTGGTGGCACATCTACTGTAGTGACCTGCAGCAGGTGCTCAATATTTTCATTTATTTATTTATTTATTTATTTTGTGTGTGTGTGTGTGTGTGTGTGGCCAGCTCAGCCCACCAGGGGGCGGGGCTGGCTGGCATGTGGTGCTGGGGGATTGAACCACGGTCCTTGTGCTTTGCTTAGCTTAGCTTGTTCTAAGTAGGTGCTTTAGACCACTGAGCCATCTTACCAGCCCCGCTCAATATTTTCTGACTGAGTTCAGAACCACTGAGCCCGCTCCTCAGCTGTGCTTCCCGGATGCTTTTGTAGAGGTCTCTAACCGCCTGCCCCCTCAGAAATTGGCCCTTGGAAATTGCTTTACTGAACCTTTTCTTTGTTAACTTTTCTATTTAGTTCTATGTATATTTGCCCATTCTCCATTTTATTTTCTTGCCCATATTACTGGTGAAGCTAGCCCATCCTCAGTTCATGCAGCTGAGAAGCAGTGGGGGCCGCCTCGAGCCAAGTGCTGATGAGGAGTGGTACCTAGGGCCTGAGGTGCCAAGTCTTAGCTGCTCTGTGCCTCGATTTGTGCACTGTGAGTGGTACCATGGTACCTGGGTCCTTTAGAGGTAGGTACATATTTGTGCCAGTATCCAGGGCAGTGTCCAGCAGGTGGTCAGCAAGTGGCAACTGCAGTCCTTGAGCTGCCTCCTCAGTGTCCTGGGGTCTCCTCCCTTTGACCCCAGTATCCAGAGTCCCTTCCTCTGGGTGTCCTGGTTATGTCCCTGGGTTCTCTGCATAGTCCAGGCCCCTCTGGGAGACTTTACTGAAGTCTCAGGTTCCCATCACTTGGGATGGAGGTGGCATCCAGGGTTGTGCCCTTCAGGCCAGACAGCCTCAGCTCTGACAGCAGAAGGGACTGCAAAGGTGCTTATGAGCTGTTGCAGCCAGACCCTGTGTATCTTTGGTGTGGAGCAAAGAGGGCAGTGATAGTGTCATGGGAGACTCAGGAAACTCCCCAGGTTTTGCAATCCGGGGATGTGAGTCCCTGGGTCTCCTCCTTGCTGTTTAGCTCCTGGACAAATTCCTGACTTCCTGGGTCTCCTTAGTAGTAGCTGGGAGCCTGGGTCTCTTTATTAGTAACTTGGGAACAGGGTCCACCTTGTGAGCACAGGGAAAGCTGAGACGATACTGGAGAAGCGCAGCCTGAAACCGCACCTGCATGCTGGCTCCCTGCAGGCAGCAGTGTCTTAGCACTATGGTAGCGAGGTGACTTTCGTTGTGTAGTGTGAGGCAGGAAAGTGGGACATCCGTCTGTTTGCAGTGGAAGGTAATTATTTTTGTGCGTTTGTACTCAAACACTGTTTCCGAGGTGGTTTGGAGAGCTCTACAATGGGAGGTTTGAGACTGCGAGATCCCTTGGGAGCCTCAATATCAAATCTTGGTAATTTTTAAAAATATACCTGATGTGTGATTAAAAAGCAAAAATTTTGCTAGTTCTGTGTAGAATTTTTCTCTTTTTTATTTTCATGCATAGACTACAGAGCCCCACACAGTTTTACAACTTACATTTAAATAGTGCTTTATTGTTGCCAGGTAGAGACCCACATTTTACATGAGGGGAAACTGAGGCATACATTTGCGTCTTTCCTCAGACGCTTAATTGAGGCCCCTGAATCCTCACACCCGGTTCATTCACAGCAAACATCACGACTTTCCTGACGAGCGGTCCTGGAGCTGCGGCTGGCTGGGGGAGCGGAGCGGGAAGCTGAGCAAGTCCTTGGGTCCAGCCCTTGGGGGCCACGGGGTGGGGTGGCTGTGGGGAGGTGGGCAGGGGACTTGTGCAACTCTTCCAAAGGGCACGTTGGCAACAGTATATCAGAAGCTTAATATGTATGATCTGTGACTCAGCAGTTGAATTTTTAGGACCAAATAAAGATGTGTGCAGAGGTGTTTGTTCAAGGGTGTTGATCCTACATTGTTTATGGAAGAAACAAAATAGAAACAACAGCCTAGCTGAAGAAGCAGGCCTTCATTCCTGAAATCCCATAACTCACAGGAAGCTGTGGATTATGCTGCCAGGGTTACTGAGCCACCTGAACAGATGTCCCCTAATAGTGTGATAATAATGGTGATGACAGCTCACATGTGTGTGGCATTTGCCGTGTGCCAGGCATGGCCCTAAGAGCCTTCTTTACATTAATTCATCACCATAGCAACTTCAGGAGCTGTGTTCTGATATTTCCTCCTTTACAGATAAGGAAACTGAGGCACGGATCTGTTACATAATTTTCCAAAGGTCACGCAGATGGTTGGTGGCTGACTGGAATTTGAACCAGGATATCTGGCTACAGAGTCCAAAAGATATTTCAAAGCAGTGTTTTTTTGCTTTTAAAAATATCTTTTTCAAGGTATAGCTGAGCATTGAAAAATGAATAGAAAGACAGAATTGGCACCTTCACAGGGGTTTCCTCCAGGTCACAGAGGAATGTCATTTTCCCCCCATTTTCTTTTGTCATGTTTTTCCTCAGTGAGTGTGTATTACAGGAAGTTCAGATTCTGGTTTTGTTCTGTTTCCAGTACCAAGAGCACTGAGCTACATCATAGGCCTTTTTATTTTTGAGACAGAGTCTTGCTAAATTGCCCAGGCTGACCTTGGATTTATAGTCCTTCTGCCTCAGCCTCCTGAGTTAATTGTGCCTGCAAGTGTGTGTCATAGCTTCAAGTTCTGGGTGTTTTGGTTTTTTAACTAAAAATTAGTTAATGCCCAGAAGAAAGCACTGAGCCTTGGTTGTGCCAAGAGCCAGTTCCGTGGGAATTCCATTGTACAGTGGCACTGAAGTCCTCTGTGCCCAGA